AACTTTGAGTTTATGATAGAGGTAGTATTATAATGCAGTATTTTAGTACTTTAATTTACTTACCTTTTGAGACACTGTGTTGTGAAGGATCTAGGATTTGCTGGGTTTAATATACCTCCTTTAAAATTGTCAATCTGTTGTCGTGTGTGTTATTTGGGGTAGATATTGCAGGTCTAATTCAATAATTAGGCAGGTAAAGCTCAGCAGTCTCCTCATTGAATCTTTAGAGATCAAAGAAACCTCTAATTTTCCTATTTGATATTTAGCACCTTTGTCTTAAAGTGACAGGTGCAGGTAGGGGTTACACTGTATAGTTTCCTTAACCACTGTTGTTGACTGCAAAGACCAGCAGCAGATCAGGGTTGATTAAACTATTGCTCGCAGGTGTGCAGCATAAGGGAGCGTACTGAGGACACCTGGTGGACAAGTAATGAATGGCAGCATCACAAAAAGGCTGTAAAACTAGAAACAGCATGAGAGGAGCAAAAGTGAGAAAAAATGAAGAAGAGGATGGAAATGTGGAGTTATAAATGGATATTTCTGAGTGTATGGTAGTGGTGGTAGAATAAGTACTTATTTCATAAGTAAAAGGAACAGTCCAATTTAATTCAGCGCAGCCTTTTACAACACTACGCCCAATGGGCTAAATTGCAAGTCACAAATTAGGCAGAATTAGGTGGAATTTAATGGTAACTACCACAAAGAAAATGATATGCAGCTACAGCAATGACTTGGAAACTACTGTCACATAAGACTGTAAGTGCTTTATACTGTATAGCCAACTTAGCATAGGAGTTATTAAAGTTGCATTAAATAAAAATATTTAAGTCCTTCACATGCTAAAGGCAAAACCTGTAAATCTATTGTGTGCTACTTATGTGATGTTACAAGCTAAAGGGCAGAACAGAAATGTTTATTTGTTATGTTAAATAGACATTATATAAAAATGTTATCAGAATGGTTAATGTGTCCCACATTGTATCACACATACATACTCTTTGTATTGTGTTGGGATCTGGTCACCCTATGTATGCGTGTATAGGCACCCTGTGCCATAAAGAGTGTCATGTGAGACTACTCTGGTTTTTATTTAGCTTACCCAAAAAAATAGTATTTGCACATTGTCAATTCACTTGTGCTGCTTGAATTCAGGATCATTGTGAAATTAACATTTAACACAGAAAAGGTGCGCAGTTTGCTATCAATACTGGCCCACAGACAGGTGAGATAACTACATTATTATGCATTTTGTGTGTATTCCTTATTCCTTACTCCACACACTCATGAAAATGAGAGGGGGGGATTTAGAAGTGGGTGTACCCAACTGAAAAATAAGTGCGTTTATTCGTATACCTGAGCTACAGTAACTAAGTAGTGGTTACTTCCACTTCAAATATTGTACTTTTTACTGCACTACATGTACCTGACAGCCATAGTGAAGGGAATAGTGGGACTGAAGCGGAAAGTTCACTTTTACATGTCTTTGTGTATCAAAAAAGCAAAGAAAGAAATTAAAAGAAAAAGAAAGCTAGCTGAGGGGAAAAAAAGCTTTTAATTACTTTCTTTAAAAAAAAAAAAGGTTAACACTAACAGAATAGTTTAAGCTTAATATCATAAGTTGCTCTTACGGTAGGAATCTACCTTGGAGTATATTTGCATTCAGTTACATACAATTAATCAGTAGGCTATCATACATTAACCAGAACATAGCCTAGTGCAGTGGTCCCAACCTTTGTCTTTTCAGAGACCCCTCTTCTATTATTAGTTAGTAAACACCTGACTAACTGACATATTTTATGGATATTTCATATTATATTCAAAGCATAACAATACTTTACAATGAACTACAATAGTGAACTTAACTTCAGGAAGTTTAGGAACTTTTTATACAATTATCTGTCTGTATAATATAATTTTAAGTTTTTTAACAATCATTCTTACTTAATAGGCTTATTTTTCAACACATTTGTTGTTGTTTTTTATTGTTCTGTAAGCTCTTTTTATTTTAATTGCATACTTTTCTAATGCAAGATGAGGAAGTTTATCTGAGGTTCTGAGTATTTAGCCATGGTTCTACCTTAACTTCTTAACTTTTACATGGTTAATAATGTCAGAAATAGAAGGTTGAAATGTGGTGAGATTTCAAACTCACATATTATTATTACTGGCTTATAGGTCGTATGAAGAGTTAATTAATGAGATTGAAATAACAGAACATAAATGAGTTACAATTAGCTCCAGCACAACTGTAGAATGCTACATGCACGTAAATGCATCAGCAATAATAAAACAACATTGTACAATAGTATCACAGAGGTGCCTTTACTTAATGCATAATGCACATTTTGCTAATAATACTATCAATACAGTACAATTACATGTTATGGAGTATTTTTAAAATTCTGGTGTTGCTTTTTTTACTTAAGTAAGGATCTTACTTACTTTCTCCACCACTTCCCAGTTGTAACAATAATAAATTATATCAACACTTAATCATGCAATGTAGGAAAGCAGGAGATGTGAATGCATGGAAAAAATATCAAAATAAAGACCTGCCTTTGTCAGGTGGAAGAACCTCCAGTTATTTAAGGCTTCATTATGACTATTACTCCCAGTGAGGAAATGCCAGGTGAAAAACCAACACTCCGATGCACACAAATTATATGTATGAATATTATTTCATTGTGCATACATATTACATGCATACATCACTTTTTATTGAGTTTATTGTTTTACTGTATGTTGTTTTATTACCCTACTTAGAATTTTGTCAGTCAATATCAGTCAAATAGGCTTTTGGCTAATTCTGTAATTTTATTACGAAGCGTTTTTATTAAATTGCTCTGTCTGATCTCTTAAATAAACTAAGCTAAATGACAATAAAATTAAAAGATAGGTTACTGAAATAAAATAAACAGTAATGAATAGTGGTTGACTGTTACGGGTTTTTCAAAGGCTGATGGTGATGTTCAGAGAGCAGGGAAGCAGGGCTGCTGACAGATATCAAAACAAAGAAAGTCATGTATAATTCCATTACATAAAATAGGAAATTCAGGCATATGTTTACAGCAGGATGCATGAGGCTTATAGTACCGGGCCCACTCAACCCCCATAATAATAAATGATGATAATGTAAAATCAAATTGATATTGCCATAAAACATAACAACAAATATCCATACAGTGGCCTAATTCAGACAGAAATATTAAACCAAACTATAAACTGCAGAAGTGTGTAAAAGTACTCTGTAATCTTCATACTGTTTAACTGTAATTACAACTGAGATGTTAATAAAGTTATTGGAAAGGAAGTGAAAGTACTGTAGTTACAGTAATTTAGCTAATTTATCTAGCAAATGTATTAATTATATATTAAATTATACATATTTTTGTATCCACTCTTTAGCTTTTACAAGCTCACTTGTCTGTCACGGTTGAAAATGTTGCAAAACAAAACAGTAGCTGTTTACTTCATCGTGTGAACAACAAACCCTAGGAGGTTCATTACCGGAGCTGAGAAGGAATCACTCCGGAGGGCTGAGTGTGACACATCTATCAACACTTTACAAATAAGCCATTAACCTAATGAGCAAAGTTAAAGAAAGAAACAGTAACCAAGCGTTGGTAGCCACAACACAATGAAGTGTTGTGCCTCACTTAGTAACAAAGTTCAGTGGGAGAAGAGTTCCTCTGTGTGACAACATACAGCCAACTAATCAGATGCACATTGTAAACATTAATAGTCTGGATTAGTTTCAAGGTTCATGAAAACAGTAAACAGCTTTGTGTTACATTTCTGAGAATCTGGCTTACATCAGTTGCATATTCTTCTACAAAACAAAACAATACAGAGTGCGGATAATAGAAGGCGTTCTCATGTAATTTGAGGAATTTGAGAAAGCACTACATTTCAAAAAACTGTTTTATTCCAGCCAATCAGAACAATTTACTAGCAATGCCACTCTTTTCTGCAAACCATAACCTAAAACCGCTATGGCAAGGGGCAAGTTTCTCCTATATGTGTTTCCCTTCAAATTATTTTCAGTGGCAGTATTCATGCGCATTGGAGTGTCTTCCTTAGGTCTGTGAAAGAGTTTTGGACCACAATAATTACCATATCTGTGTACAAAAGTCAGAAAAGGTAGAGCAGATAATAAAAACCAACACTCAAAAAACCCTGTTATAATGATCACATCCTCATAGATTATTCATGATTATCTATGTTTGCCATTTATGTCATAATTGAGCTAATTTACAGCTTTTGAAATGTATCTATGGACATTAATATAAAAGAAAAATTAGTAGCAGGGCTTCCTGTAGGAAAATTCAGTCGTGGTGGGCATTTGATGCTCAACAGTCACTGCTTAATTTTCCTGATATCTACACAGGTCGATTGATTAATACTGTGAGATTCAGCTTCATATTTTATGCTCCTACACACTTTATTTAGTTGCAGTCTGAAACTTTACTGCCAGATGCCACGAAGTCCGACAGACTGGTCCTTCAAAATTGGACATGTAGGACGTTGAAGTTACATAGCAGTCAAAAAACTTACTGCCTTTTCCTGCTTAGCTTTCAGACCATAGTCTGAAGCTCAGGGCTTTGATACAAGCGTTTGCTAGGGCTAACCTCCCTCACCTTTCCAGCAGTTGGGAAGCAACAGAGAGACGTTCCTTGGTCTTGAGAAGCTGCAGTGTTTATTAATTTACATGATAGTGATACATTATGAAACATTTTATAAACATATACAGTAAAAAAATATTATTGAAACTGTAAACCACACTAATAAGTTGTTATTGTTGCAATAGTTTTGCAATAAAATCTAAGAACTGAAATAATGAATTCATAATTAATTTATGATTGATTAAATACAGTAAATGTGCAGTGCAAATATAATAAATGATAAATTGCCAGAATACAGTATGTAGATGATTACATTATTGGCTTCTTCTTCAACAGAACAGTAATCAATATTGTACAAAAAAAAAAGCCAATGGATACAATAAAATGTTATTATTCTGTAAGTTTGAAATTAACTATGTAGATAAATTGTGAGTTGTCTACGTGGTCATAATATTGAAGTGTGTAATAACACATTTCATCAGTGTTGAGACAAAGTATATTTTTGTCTGATATTTCTGTAAGAATGATTATCAGAAGAGTAATTAGATGTTTTTCAGGTGGTAAACTAAACTGTGGCCCATATTATAAATTATAGTTGTGATCTTCTCATTTCCATCTCCTCCTACCTTAAGTCTAAAGTCGTCATTGTTAAACTCTCATATCATCATATAGGTTCATCTTGTCGCTATTTCCACATTAAGCATGCTTGCAATGTGGTTGCGGTTGCTTTAATAGTGGTGGACATTTTGAGTTTAGTTTTGGAGCATCAATGTAAACAAAAATGACACTAAGTAGAAAAAAACATCTCATTCAAAAACACAAAAATTCTTATTTTCAGGTGATATATTTCAATTCAGCCAATAAATCTTAGATCTAATGGGGAAATATATAAATTGTATTATTAGAATCAGCTTTATTGGCCAGTTATGTTTAATGAATCTGACTGGTTTCAAGTTGCTGTCAATGTACGAACACAGAACAAGGCTAAACAAAGATAAGCAAATGTCATGAACCTGCTCTAGGATTATGACAAAGGAGGGAGACCACACAGAGAATTTAAAGGTTTTAAACAAAAAGAAGTTTAATTAAACAATATTCACGATCACAAATTATAATATGTATATGTACGTCAGTGTGGTCAGTAGTGTAGTGAGAGTGTGAG